CTGTCTGACAGTTTCTCATCCCACGGTAGTCGACTGTCGCATACTTCGCGGTATAGAAGCTTTCCCACTAATGTTGTGGGCGACGCTACACCAAGCGGGTCGTACACCGCAGCTAAGAATCGTAGCATTCCTCTCTTAGTGTTATCAACAGGTTCCTCAGGGAAAGTCACTGCAATTGTGTCCTCTCTCTTGTTCCACGGCAAACCTAATATCTTGGATTCACCTTCCTTAACTCCCAACTGTTGCTTTGCGTAACTCTGCTGTTCATCAACAGGCACCCCATTCTCACCGTCTAGCTGAGGCTCGTGCACCGGAACAACATTCTCACTCTCTAGCTGAGGCTCGTTGGAGTTCCACTTGTGCATGGTAAACTTAGCATCCCCAAACACTGATATGATCGTCTTCTTCAGGTCCTGAACCTCTTCTTTGGTGTTGCCCCCCGTGATGACGTCATCAACGTATAGACTCCTCAAGATCTCGTCTACCTCCACTGGGTATTTCTCTCTTAGGCTTTGCAAGTGCAACTTTAGTGTTCCCGCCAACAAGAATGGCGACTGGACCAACCCGAAGAGCGCTCGCGTGAATCTCAAGGCTTCAATAACTGAAGGGTCCTTGTTCTTGAGCCAGTGGAAACGTAGTGCATCCCGGTCTTCAGGTCTTATGCGTACTTGTAAGAAGGCTTGTTTGATGTCAGCTGCTAAGGCTACTGGCTTTAGGCGATTTCGCACAAGAACGTTCCACAACAGATTCTGCAAGGGAGGCCCCGTTTCTAAGCACTCGTTTAACGACGGACTATCTTCACTTGGCTTAGCCGATGCGTCAAATACAATTCTGAGTTTTGTGGTCACGGCAGTTTCCTTTTTCACAGGTTTGTGAGGGATGTAAAATACTCTCTCGTTTGGCTCGTCTACAACTCTCTCAACTATCCCTTCAGTGAGTTGCTCTTGGATGATCTCATCGTACTTGTCTATCAGACCAGGCTCTCTCTGCAACTTCCTCACTAGACCTTGTAGTCTCCTGATACTTCCGCGTTCGTTCGATTGCAGGTGATCGTGACCCGGCTTCCATAGCAAACCCGATTCGTACCAACCTTCGTCACTTCGGTTCAGTTGCTCAGAGAATTCGGCAAACACGTTTTGCTGGTCTGCTTCTGGTCTATCTGCGAGTCCTAAAACATCTAAAGAGCAGAGTTGTTCGTAGTCCGCTGCCGATGTTTTCGTCAAATAAACGTTGGATAGCGCGGCTTCTCTCCCTGTGGACATCATCGTCCACCCCAGCATAGTGAACTCAGCAATGGGCTCAGACGGCTGACCAATTCTAGGTTTCGTCTCAGTTTTGATCCTTGAGTACTCGCTGGCGCCGAGTATTACATGAATGGGTAACTCACTCTTCTTGTCATCGTCATCCATGACCACTCCCTGCAGGTGACGATACTTGCTGATCAGTTCTCCATAATTCGGATTTGGGACTGTGAGTAGAACACCCTTGTCCACCTTATTGATCTTCGTCATCATCTCAAACTTCCCATCAACACTTTTAACCGTTACTGAATACCCTTGTACCTTTTGAACTGTTGAGCAAAGCATCATGTCAATCTGTCTATGTTCGATATGAGTTGGTCGCTTGTTAAGCCGTTCAATCAGAGCCGCTGACGCATAAGAACTACCCGCACCTGTGTCTAGTAATGCTCTGCATTTGATCCCATCGACGAACACCACTACCACCGGATAAATAACAGAACCCTCACCAGTTGCCAACATCATTTGACTGTTGCTAGGCAGCCTGTCACAAATAGACGTGTGATGTCTGCCACCGCAATGTTGACAAGTGTACTTGCTGTGGCACTCCCGTGCTTGATGTCTTGTTCCTGTACAGTTGAAGCATAGTTTCTTGTCACTCAAGATCTGCCTGCGCTGGTGCAAGCCAGGGACTTTCTTGCACTGGGTGGAGCTGTGATCCTCGCCATTACAATAGATGCAGTTACGCCCCACCTTCGCACTCTCATCTTTGGTCTGGTAAGCAGGATTTTTCCTTGCTTGGAAGCGATTTCGCGGGTCACGGTTCGGAGGATAACGACTTCGCAGGTCAGGCTTTGGCGGTTCAGGTTTAAGGTTTTCGCTGACAATAGGGTTACGGTCACACCACTTCCTCAGGGATTCGATTAGCTCTGCAAATCCCCACTCTTGCCAGTTATCGTCTAGACGTACCAGATCCGCTCTGATTCCAGGTAATTTATCAAGCGTCGCACGCACAAACCCTCCTATTTCGTTAACCTTGCCCATGGTCTCTAGCACTTGTATGTGACTTGTTAGCTTCTCGTAGAAATCATGGATTTTTGCTGGGTGTCCACCATGAACTGTGGATAATCCAATTATGCATTGCATATGTGCGTTTGCTACCTCACTGGGTTTACCATACTTGGTTTTCAATATAGCTTTGGCCCTTTCGTAACCCTCCGTCGTGAAAGGGAGTCCGTCAATGGACGCGCGGACACTGGGTACTAGTAACTCCTTCAGGTAAGAAAACTTAGCAACTTGAGTTAGTTTAGCCTTGTCGATTTCAGTTTCGAATTGATTCCAAAACCTCATCCAATCCAGGAAAGTCCCTTGAAATTTAGTTATCTCCAGTTTTGGCAATTTCGCTCCGACACTGCTCAAATTCCCAGATTCCTCCGTGGATGCCTTCGCCGTTTTCTCAAGACTCGCTCGCGCTTCGTGTTTAGCCTTTTCAAGCTGGATCTTTTCCTCCAAATTCCGTTTCCGTTTCTCTTCCTCGCGTTTTTCCTCTTCGATTGATCTAATACCGGCAGCTACATATTCCACTTCTTTAAGAATTCCCTCAAATTTACTGATTTGGCTTTCTAAAGTTTCGGTCCAAAGTCTGACCTCTACAGGGTCATTCCCACTTTCAATACGCAACTCCTGAACTTCCAATTTGAGCTGATGTGTTTTGTCAATAACGTGCTCCAATGCGCTTCCATGCCTCTCAATTGTCTTCAGGTCTCCGGTCTCGATTACTTTCGCTGTATCTCCCGCTGTAAATTCAAGCATTTTCAGTTTACCTTGAATCTTCTCCTGCATTGTTTTGATTTCGCCTTCGGCGCTCATGTTGTTGACTTCGGTGTTTCTTCGCTGTGTTTACATGTAAAATTCCTCTCGTCGCTCACTTCTCGCCGCTCGCTGTTACTTTCTCGAATCACAGGTGTCCTGGCAGGGTCGCCACCTTTTGTTGCGATGATTTCAACAAAATTTATTCGTTTCTCGTTTGATAAACTCGCTCGTACTCACAAGATCGCTCGCTCTCCTTTTCCTCGTGTTCTAGTGCCAAAACCGGTCCTGACCGGTTCGGCTTACGTCACACACGCACCACAGGAACCCCATTTCGGGTCCGACACTATTGAATGAGCTTATGACGGATCATATTTTGAAGTTAATTTTCACCTTAGCAAAACGACCTTTGGTAGTAAACAAAACTAAGTAATTCTTCACGACCCAAACGCAACGTTCGACTTTACGAGCCTAAAGGATCTCTCCAACCCAGAACTACCAGACCTTTCGTTTGAACGTTAACACCTCTGGATTTCGTATAATCATATCCTCGATGCTCCACGAATAACACAAGCCTAACCACAGAATATCCTGGCGCCACCCCAGATCCCGCCACTAGCACCAGCTGGATCTCGTTATCACTCGAAGACCCCTGCTCAACTGTGTTCTCAGTACCCGCAGTTACCACAGTGCTGACTGCAACACCGACCACTCTTTGGTGGGCAGTTTGGTGGGCAGCAAGGTACCCCTTCAACCCATAAGTACCCACTGTTCCAAGCAGAAAGGACGCCTACAACCCGCCTACTCATCAACACAGCTAGGACAGCAATCCCAGACCTGTGCGAGCACTTCGCCGACTCCATTCAAGAGCCCCTCACCGACTGCCCCACATCAAGTGCTAAAGAAGATGGCACAACATCCATGTCGCCATTTACAACTCGGCCATGGACACCTTTAGCAAGAGAGGGAGGTAGACCCCAGGCTGGTTTGAAGCTGCCATTGCCGAACTCGAGCGAGCGATAGCAGCCAAGCGGGCAGCACTTCCCCACTACCAGAGGGAGCCTTCTGCATTCAGGAAAGCCAGCAACGATGCCCAACGGATCGCTCACTGCCTCGCCAGGGACCACTGGCTGAATCTCTGTCAGAACATCCAACTATCTGCTGGCTGCGAGAATATCCGCACCATGTACGATCACTTGAAGATAGCTTTCCACCCAAGTGCCACGCATACTTCACCTTTAAAGTCAGCTGCCGGCGATATCATCAAAGACCGGGGCAAACTGTTGAAGAGATGGGCTGAACATTACCAACAGCTCTACTATAGGGAGAACATCATCACTGACACAGCAATTGAGAGTACCAGCCTCCTGCCTGTCATGAATGAGAGAGCAATCAGAGCAATCAACTGTCTAGCCTGCGGCAAAGCACCAGTTAACGATGGCATCCCGTCAGAGGCCATCAAGGCTGGAATGAATACCGCTCTACTTCATCATCTACATGAGCTCTTGCTACAGTGCTAGGAGGAAGGAACAGTGCCCAGGATATGCGCGACTCCAACATCATCACGCTCTACCAGAACAAGGGAGACTGCAGCGACTGTAATAAGTACCCTGAAATGTCCCTCCTCAGCATCATTGGGAAGGCCTTTACCAGTTTAGTGTTGAACAGATTGCAGACGCTAGCAGAAAGGTTGTATCCTTAGGCACTGTGTGGTTTCAGAGCTGGAAGGTCAACAATTGACATGATTTTTTCACTGAGGCAGCTTCAGGAAAAGTGTGGTGAGCAGAGGAAACACCTGCATTTGCCCTTATCGACCTAACCAAGGCCTTTGACCTAGTCAGCAGGGTCTGTTCACTCTCCTGGAGAGAATTGGATGCCACTCAAGCTCCTAAAGATGATCACGTCTTTCCATGAAGACATGCAAGGAACCGTCCAGCACGACGGCTTGACTACGTACTCGCTCCCACACTCTTCGGCATCTTTTTCTCCCTACTGCTGTCTTACGCCCTCAGCCAGTCAGAAGATGGTGTGTACCTTCACACTAGAAGTGATGGAAACCTCTTCAACCTTGCACGTCTCCGAGCAAAGACCAAGGTTCGGAAAGTACTGCTAAGGGACACACTGAGAGTGCCTTACAGCGACTCATCAGTTCCTTCGCACACGCTTGTAGCGTGTTTGGTCTCACCATAAGTCTCAAGAAGACCAACATCCTTGGCCAAGACGTCAGCAGCACACCAAGTATCTCCACTGGCGACTACACTCTCGAAGTGGTGGAGGACTTCACTTACCTAGGCTCCACTATTTCCATCAACCTCTCGCTAGACACAGAACTGAAAAACGGATTGGCAAAGCAGCAGAAGCATTGGCACATCTGGGAAAGAGGGTCTGGGACAACACCATGTTGACCATCAACACCAAGATGAAGGTGTACCGGGTCTAGGTGCTCAGCACGTTACGGCAGCGAGATCTAGACCCTCAACTCCAGCCAAGAGTGCAGACTCAACACCTTCCACCTGCGCCGCCTCAGAAGGATATTGGCATCACCTGGCAAGACCTTGTTCCAAAGAAAGATGTCCTAGCACAGGCGGGAGTACCTAGTGTGTTCGCCTTGCTCAGTCAGAGACGGCCGCGGTGGCTTGGCCATGCCAGCCGCATGGAGGACGGAAGGATTCTAAAGGGCATACTCCACGGCGAGCTTGCCACTGGAACTCGAACTGCAGGAAGCCCTACCTTTCATTTCAAAGATGTTTGTAAACGAGATCTTAAAGCAGGAAATGTCAACCCTGCAGGTTGGGAAGCTGTCGCTGCAGACCGGTCACTGGAGACCTTCGGTCAAGGCACTCAGGCGTGTAAGGAGAGAAGAAAGGAGCATTGGGATGAGAGAGCGCAGACGGCTGAGGGCAGCATCAGTACCCACAGAGCCACGCACAGAATTCATCTGCAATAACTGCAACAAAGCCTGCCGATCCAGAATCGGACTGTACAGCCACAGCAGGCTCTGCAACTCAACCACTGACTAAACCTTGGTGCTGATTCCATTCTCCCGAGACAGATGGATGCCAACAACATCCCTGGTGCTACACGACTAACACTGGGTTAAAGCTCATTGACTAACATTACAATCAGACAAAGTAAAAAAATTCTCAGACTGTTTTTAATCTTACATCTTTGGTCATATGTGGTATTTGTGGTGGTATTTACAATACTCTAATTCACATAATTATTCACGTTTGTTCTTTGCTTCATGTGGACTAACAACTGTAAAATAAGCAAATGTTTGGAACATGAAACACAATCTTGTAAGTTTGCGCATCAATTCGAAACTCATTCCCAGGCCAAACTGTTGTGACACGTGTTGCTTGAGAATGAGGGCGAAATGATGATTCAAAACATGATATCTGAAACATTTTTGTTTGTTTAAAGGGGCTGCGTCACGGCTATCTGGATTATTTCGTCCGTTTTTCACTTTTACTGGCAAAATCCGAGTTTTAATTAAACAAATGTCTCCCCACCGTTATATCAAACGTTACAAACAGAAAAATTAACAAACTTTGAAAAAACCCAATTGCAATCCCGTTTATTCTTCCTCGAGTTTGGACACCCTGTGCCTTACTCTGTACTCGCTCAGTTATTGATAACTTCTTCTCTTGCTGTGAGTAGTTATTATTACGTTTCACCTTATTGGGTGTCAGTTCTCCTTGTTTGAAGTTTGAAAAATTTCGTGACACACCTCCTTTAAGCTACCTCCCAATATTTCAGACACCAGAATAGACTAGTCATAAAACGGAATGCGCCAGACATGCTTTGTGACAATAACTTGTAGCTTTTCTTTAGGCCCACCTTAGAAACCTCCTGGCTTGTCATTTTAATTCTGTTATGGTTTTATCAACTAAGTCGACAAAGTCAATCTACCACCGTAAAAGATTTTCAAAGCGTGACGTTTCGTCAGAGAAATCCAAGTGACATATTCTGCCCATAAAAAAAGTTCAGTCAAGGTGATTAACGGAAACCGCTCAGATTGCCCATCCCCCAGAAAGCATCATTCGAAATTTACGCTTAGGCTTTAAGCCTTGAAGGCAGTTAAGACAAGGATATGCATGTGTATTTGTCATTCTTAAAACGTGAAAAAAGGAATAAAATTAGAAAGGGTATGCCTGGGTATCTGTTTAGGGCAACAACTTCAAATTAAGAAAAGGTGACGCAAGTTCGGGCGAGAAGACTTTATTTTTAGAGACCCCTACCGCAAAGCGAACGAATTTCCGTATTCTAAGTTAACTTAATTTTACCTTTTACTTTAACGCCCTGTTTTCAGAAATAGTTCATATTCCAAAAACAGAAAACTCCTCAAGTTTTGCTGTCTTCATTCAAGTAAACATTTCTTTTAGTGTTAAAGTAGCATTTCAAAAATAAGCAAGAGTACTTGGTCATCACTTAACCAGCGTTTGACCAAACACTGTTCTCTTGATTTCGGACCGACAGCTAGTTGACACACGCATTGCAAAGCTGTGCGGCAGTGATACAGTCATCGTGACAGAAAGCACCACATTTTCTGCAGATTTCCATGGCTTTCAGCCGACACGAACAGTTCTTCAGTAACATCGATCTGCTGAAGGCTTTGGAAGTGACAGAGTTGACTGAAAAGCCTTTTGAGACACCAGCCGTGGCAGAACCACGGCGTGTCGAGTTCTCTTTACTGGCCGCTTGACTGCGCATTGCAGCCCGCGATGGTGGTCTCTGTTTTATAAGTGTTGCAGGTTTCGGCAGATCTACTGCCTCATGTGTAAATACAGACGCGTTAGATAATGAAGTTGCCGATGGCTCCATGGAAGAGCCATCAGAAGCAGTCTCGCTACAAGGAGTCTTAATCGTCCTTTTTCTTGAGTATACCGTACTAGTAGTGAGCATATTGTCTGGCGCACAAGTCCTTACGGCTTTAAGAGCTTCGTTAGCAACAGCGACGGTGACCATCCGATAGATGGGTATGGACCTTGGTCGTGACGGCCCAGCTTTTGCGTTCGCTCTAAGCTGCTTCGCCGCCTCTGATCTCCGAGACTCAGACACCCTTTGTTTGGGAAGACAGTGAGGAGGAAGTTTCTTAACTGGGACGGTTAGAGGTTGTATCATGGCGCTTGATATCCTGGCTGATTTTGGAGGATTGAGCTGCGACCTGCCAACATTAGGATCCTTATGACTCGGAACAGCAGGTGCTGGGGACAGTGGTTCAGTGAAATAAGCATGGGCAAGGTCTTGGGAAGATTCTTCGGTATCCGAAAGTTTTCTGAAATTGAAATTTCTTGAAATAAATTAAAAGATACATTTCTGTGGGGAGGGGAGGGGAGGGGAAGGGAGAGGAGTAAGAGGGGAGTGATCAACAGATTACTCAGATGTTCAACCGACCAGTGGCAATAAAAAATAATTTCGTTAGAAAAAGAAACCCGTTCCAACAATGTTTGGGTAAGCGGCTTAGTATGCACAACGGCAGTGAACTATCCATCTCTTAAGGAACAAGAGGAAAACTGGGCCCAGTTTACTTAGCGCAAAGACTTCTGGGATCGTTACTGCCGACGCGCCGGTCCGGTGTTGGACAATTTTTTTCCCTGTCCCCAGTAACAGTCCCAAAGTCTTTGTGAAACTTTAAGGGGTCTATCACGGCTGTCTGGTTCAGTTTGTTAATATTGCCAATTACGCTTCCGTATCAGCCGAGGAACTTCACGTTAACGAAGAAATTACTAGTGAACGACAAAATCACAGCTTCTTGTCCTTCAAATATGCCTCTCTAGCATAATATCAAACGGTACAAACAACAAAAATGAACTTTGACAAGCCGTTAGGCTAGCAAGTTTTCAAAGACCGACAATTTCAATCCGTTTTTATCCATCCGTGCCTACTTTTGTATTTGTTGTGTTATGAACACCTTTTAACGTTTCAAGCCATTATTTTTGTTTCACTCACTTTGGTGGCAGTTTCTACGAATTGAATTATGATAACATTTGTGACACAGTTCCTTTAACTCGACCCAATTTCCTCTCATTTCTTAAGTGGCTAATCGTAGGTCCAAGATGAACAGCTATAGCCTAAAGCGTTAGCGCTTAGTTGGTTTCGTGGTTATGACATACCACGGTGCTGCACCAATCGGCTAAAAATGAAGTGGAAGCTCTCCTAACAGTCACTCTTGTAAGCGGACAGCTCTACTTACGACCGCCATCACAAAACCCCGCTTTTCTTACCTCCCATACAAACTCTGTATTTTTACATTCCCATAAGCGGTAAGCTCCAGTTATGGACACCTTTTTCGAGTACCGAGAGTGTCCGCCCATGAGAGCTTCCACTGTACACAATGTACATTCATTTAAGCAGCCGTTCTAACTTGCAATGCATGGATACCAAAATTATCACTAAATTACTAACCTCTTGCCCCAGACAGGTTCAAAAAACTTGGCCTGCAACAAACGAGGAAACAATCAGGTTATTAGAAAAGTTCCATTCTTTTCAGGTCCACTGGCTTAAACAGGTCTTTTACCTTTTCCGCGTGTCACTAGAAACAGATCACGGGATTGGACTAAAGAACCCAGCGATCTCTCACCTTTAATGTAAAATTACTTAATTGTCAAGGCACCAAAATCTCACCTTCCAGGGATCCAACTTAGCTAATCTTTCTTCTTCTTGTCTCATCTTTAGTTGCATATCAGTCATGAAGTCTCCTGGAAAGGTCAATTCATGAGTAAGTTCTTACGACTGCTTTAACATTTAAAGATAATGCTTAGCAAACAATCTGAGGAGCTAAAACACTGAGGCGTTAAGCATAAAAAGAGGGAATAGGCGCCTCAGATATCCAGGAACTTCCATTCGCCACTTTAAAAACAAGACGGAAACTGGAGCCAAAATGCGTGCCGCAAGTGTTTCTGGGATCGTTATTGGGGGCATGCCGGTCAGCTATTGGCCGATCTTTCTTTTTGCCTCGGCCCTTGTAACAGTCCCAGAAGTCTTTGCGAAGGTTAACTCGACCCAGTTTTCTTGTTTTATTAACGGCCAGCTCCTAGATAGACAAATCTTGGAATTCCAGCCCTCAAGCAGTAAGTAGGTCACGCAAACCATGGCACCGATAAAAGAGTGGAAAAGAAAAGTGAAAAGGAAGAGGAAACAGCCTGTTTCTAAAGGTTAAAGCCCTCGCGTGTCTCCCTCGCGCGCGCCCGTTCTCTCTTTTGCCCACTACTGCAGAGCGCCTCTTTTCAAATCCCTCATTGCTGCTACTGAAATATTTACACCCCAATTTCTTAATGACGTGTAGTTCCAGGAAATATCTATACCCTCCCCACTGAGGGCAACAGAAATTCTGAGGGGAGGGGGGTCCAAAAGGAGCAAATTTCCGAGGGGCTGGGGGTGGCTTTTTGAGGTCTTTCTTTCCGGGGGCTGCAAGTAAGATTGGCGAGTTATTGCTCTTCGGCAGTGGCTCACCGTAAATTATTAGCTAAGAAAGAACTCTACAAGGCAAAATTGAGTTTACTAGACCACGTATCAACATGAATAAGAAAATTTTTTCTTACTTTATATCAGAAACAATTACATTTCACATAATGGTATAGTGCAACAGCATTTTTGACGGAAATATTCTCTCCAGGGGGTTCCCAATCAAGTTGGAAAATCATGGAAATTCCACAGAGTAGCAGGGTATGACAAGCACCCCAAGGAATTGAAATTCCGAGGGGGTGGGGGTCTAAAGCAAAAGTGCCCTCCTTTGGGGGGGGGGGGGGTATGGATATTTTCTGGAACTACACAATCCACTTCTTCCACTGTGGTTGTTGGGGGTATTAATCCTGCTTTGAGACTGCAAAAGTTGGAAAGCTCTTTTGATTATTTTGAACCCTACAAACAAGACCAACATCATCATGTGTTACGACCATTTTATGATAATTTTACCTTGCCAAATGGCAAGTTTGAAAAAACTTGAGCTTGAAGCAATGACAATACTCACCATCCTGAAGACGATCTCTCCATGAATGACACGCACTAGCAAAGAACTCATTTGTGAAAGCAGAATGTGATGGTCTGCCAAAAGAAAAAAACAACACACTATTATAAGTAGCCACTTCTTAAGACAGACACCACTGCGACTGGTATCCAAGGGGGAACTTCCTATAATGGCCTATACAGGGAGGCTCTGCCCGAAAGAGCAACCTTATCAAGTTTCAGGTATTTGAAAGGGTAGGGACTTCATTAGTTGAAGGGCAGGGAAATCTGTCATTTCAGTCTCTGAAAAGACCAAAAAAGGGCTATAAATGGGAAAGTGACAAGGAAACCTCGAGTTAAATATAGAGGGTTTTCACATGACATCACGGTGACCATATTGGTGTTCCATAACAATAAAATGCTTGTTACAATAATAAAAGGCAAATTGTATAAAGCTTCAGTGAGTACCTCCCCCAATTCCCCGCAAATGTCTATCTCAGAGAGACCATCTAATTACAACAGAAGATAAAAGTATGAATTAAGTGACTGAATACTTAGTGTAAAACACTGGAATTGTATCTAATTGCCGAAGACAACAGAGGTGTTTCCATTGATCACATGTGTTTACATAATGTACACTACAGTGTCACTTGGACTTGCAGGAGCACCATCAATTTCCTTTGAGAGGAACTTTGTTATAGCCTGCAAAAAACAGCTGTTTCTCCTTCTACCTCGCCACCTGGGTTGTTTGCCAGGAGAGACATCTGCGTCTCAGCAACAGAAATTCCATACTGATGATGTAAATCTATGTTTACATAATTAATCCGGTAGTCATGGGGTTTTAAATACAAATTTATTTCATTTTATGTTTCTCCTGGTCAACTTTGGTAAAGCTTTGTGTTCATCTGCAAACAAGCTCCAGCAAAACTCAAATGCTTCTTCTAGAGAAGAATATATTCCACGAATATTCAGTGTTTTGTAATAGATTCATCGCATTTAAATTTCACCTTTGTGGCCTTTTGTCTTTTGTCTGTCATTCGTAAACAATAGCTAAAACAAAGTAACTACTACGTTGACCAATCAGAGCTTCTGACCAGATTCCGGAGAGATTTTATATAACCACTATAGAATTTCTGTTGGTGAGGCAGTCGGACAGACGTCTCTCTTAGCGAAAAGTCCCAAGGATCAAGGAGAAACGGCTGTTTTCGCAGGGAAACTTTGTTGGTGTTCTTGGAAGCAGCTATAATCTGTGATTCAGTTTTCCATGAATCTCACAAAATGGAAACATCAAAAATATTCATGGAATGTATATGGTTGTGAGGAAAAAACCAATAAGGCCCAAGAAAACTACATGTAAACTGTAAGCAGCTATGGTAATAAGTTTGTGGTTCTGAAATATGGATGCATGTCTAGGCCCAGGTTGTTCAAAAGCAGGATAGCGCTATCCACTGGATAAATCACTATCCATCAGGTAAATATTACAGGAAACATGTGTGTTATCTGCTGGATAGTGATTTATTCAGTGGATAGCGCTATCCAATGTTTGAACAACCGGGACCTGAACGTGATGGTGGCAGGTTACTACACAATCTGATAACATTTCTGCCATACATGTAATTCAAGTGTTCACGGTTTCCTAAGTTTGACAGTAAATTCTGCACAACAGAAATTACTGGCAGGAACAGCCCCCTCTGACATACCTGAGGCCACCATCACTGCCTACTGACTTGTCCACTCTTGGCAGTAACTTCACTAACTGATATTGATACAGAGCTGGAAGCATGTTGAATGTACGCTGGTTTATAAGTGACTGAAAAAAGAAAAGTATTCAACAACTGCTAGTTAGACTGCATCATAGAAGTATGTGCTATGAGTAGTAAGAACTACCTTGTGCACACTTTGGCAGCACATGCAGTCTGGCCTTGAGCATCCTAATGGCATTATTAAGTAATGATCCAGGTAACACGGGAAGCAAAAATTATTTCTTTTGTTATGATGCAATACGCTTTCTTATGTTCATAGGAAAGGTTTCATTTTCACACAAAGAATGCATAAACCTACAAAAAAACAGTTTACAAAAAGAAATGTGACAGTGGGGCAAGTTTTGCATTATACTCTTGCAGAGTTGACTATACTTACTCTCAAGGGAATACTCGTCAGAATGGAATCCGGAGTTGAGATATCTATTCTTCCCTCCTTGGTTTTCTTCAGTTGAGCAGCTAAGAAAGATTGACAACAGTAATATTATTTTTAGACAAAATTAAAAGGTTCATGATTGCCAAATTACAAACTTGTACAATCAGTCAATGATACGCAATACATGTGTGCATGTACAAATACACATTTTCCATTAAAATTTTCTACAATACTGTATCGTTTTTATTCATAATATGATATTTTGATTTGTTTCCTTTCAGAAGCAATTCAGGTTAGTTGGTTAGTTGGATGTGACAGCTACAAGTTAATATTATTCTTGTGTCTAAGTTGTAATTTCACCTAAAACAAATAATTGTTGCTGTCTTGTTACTTTTGGCATTCAAAACAATTTATTGAAAACTTACCAACACTCATTTTCTTGTACCTTCTTGGCTAAAAAGGAAAACCATAAAACATTTTAATAATAATAATAATAATAATAATAATAATAATAATAATTAAAAATTTACAACTTGCCTTTTCCATGCAAATATGATCAAAAGCGCGTGACAACACGTAAATGTTAAAAGAAAATAAAAACTAAAATGAGTATGTGTAAAAGGCTCGGGAAATTATTAGGATTTGGACAAAACGCAAGTGAAAGTATTCCCTAATTTTATGAGTATACCATTTGATTACCTATTAATATCAGGGGTGACGAATTACGTTAGCAATCTTGGATTTTTGACATGTTTATCCTGGATCGTATTGATTGAGAACTCCACTCTCCGCTCAAATGTTTAGACCTTAAATTTGGCTTATAAAGTTCAGAATTTTTCAGACTATTTCGGCAAAATACCTGTAAGAATCCTTCTTGATGTTCTCTTGTGTGTTCAGGTTTTCTAAAGTGTCTTTTTGTGCCCTGACATCTTCATTCACGGCATTTTAAAACTTCGTCGCCATCTTGACACTGAGACGTACGGAAGGTTGCCGTGGCAATTTTGTAATTTCACATGTGAAATTACAAATTAGCGCTGAAATTTCGTGCCAAAATTAAGGAGTACTTCGTCACCCATGATATTAGCATAATAATTAATCAGTTATTTCCATCACAACAAACCAAGCATTGCTGTCAAGTTTGGAATGAATAAAATTTTGATTAGACTGAATGAAGCAGCATTTTACAACATTTAATGTGAAAACTTTACCTTTGAATTTGTCCAAAGGTCAGAAAATTTTTCCAGCGTTTCTCTGCCATCCATGTCATCAGCCGTCCCTGGAAGATTCTGAAAGCTGTGACTAGCTATGGAGTTAGCTGTTACTGATGCTCTAGATGGGTTTATGAGTTGGGATGATGGTGGAATGAGCACAGATGAAGGCTTAACCTGTTAGAAAATAAATAAATTAATCAATAAGGGAAAGTTATGAGTATTATAGGCTATATCTTTCAGTAAGATTAGTAAAAGTCTCAACTCAATCAATGAAGGTCACAAGTGAAGGGGAGGGTGGACTATGGTCTTGAGCCTGGTTTCAAACATCACAGTGAGGACAATAATATAGATTTCCCCTACAGGCATTAAATTCAGCCCATATGATTCTAGTCAACTAGCTTGCAAATAAACGATCAATCTGTCGAAAAAAAGAGAACTACATCGTAAAGGGATATTGCAAGGCAGCGTGCAAAGAAAGTCGTGTCCAATAACCCAGGCTTGTTGATTTTGCTATCAGGCAAGTGAATTCTGTTTTTAACTTGCCTGCCTGGCAAGTGAAGATTTTTATGGAATTCAAATAACAGAAGAACTGTTATCAATCCTGCTCATCATCGGGCTAGTTAAAATGACTCGTGGGCTAGTGGGTGCTAGCTACAGAAAAACTGACTTTCTTTGCACCCTGCAAGCCCTGTGGAGTATGCACAATGTATGGGTAGTACATGAAATCTAAGCTGGCATTCAGGAACACAATTTCTTTGTGACATATTTGGAAAGTGTGCTGAATTTCTGCAATAAAAAAAGATGTCAGATTGTCACTCGATCACTACGACAGATTTCTTTTCAAACACTTTTCAATCACAAGGTTCACAAACAAGATTTGGTGATAAATTCTAGCCACCATTTTGGTGACTAATTTTTCAGAATTTGGGTGCCAGTGTGGGAAATTGGTGCCTCTAATAGTAGGTACAATTTTACATGTATGTCCTGTTCTTCAGTTATCTTGCACATTAATTTTCCTTCCTTCCCATTACTGCCAGTGATTTGACAATAATGCTAGTTACATGTAGCAACAGAATTTCATGGAAAGTACAATGTTGCATCAACTAACCTTCCCATTGCCATTCTTGGTGCTTGATCCAGCATTACTCTCATCAGTTCCCACTTTCAGATTTTTCAAAACCATTTTTGGGACAGGTCTTGTACTCGTCAACCTGGGTCTTTTAGTTGCTGTTGAACTGCGAGGCCCTTTGGGGCCACGCTTCTTCTGTAGTCTTCCGTCCTTGGTGAGCGATGGCTTTGACTTGGGATCCCTTGGAGAAGGATTGGGCGGGGGAGGTTTCAGCTGTGGCATCAAAACACTGTTTGTTCCCATGGGTATCTTCACTTTCCCATTACTAAGGCCATTCAAACTGTCCTTGTCAAGAAAATGGTTGAAATCTGAGTCATCAGGCATATCCATTGAGTCTGAGTCAGAGTCTTGGGCTGCCAAGGAATAAAATAATAATTATTAGTAAAATCCAACTAGTGGTCTATTATCAATGCTGCATTCTGATTGGTTGAGCTACTACTAGGCTATATGTTACAGCCCACTAGTAGCGAAAAGCACCAGCTTTGAAAACCAAAACAATGGTGGCTGAATCAAGTTTTGCCGGCTAAAGTTGTTTTGTCTCCATATTTTTTACCAACTTGTTGGATTTACTAAAACAATAATTGTTTTAGTAATAATATTAGGAATAATCATTATTCCTGTCGCCCCCATGGCGTCTGAGTCAATAGCCCATTCGGCCTTCGGCCTTATGGGCTATTGACTCAGAGCCTATTCAGGCTCGAGGAATTATGGTTAATTACTGATCAAGGTAAAATTGGAATAAAACAAAATTATTATCCGAAGAAAACTCCCACAAAAATCACTGAAGACTGTACACTGTATCATTTGCCACTTACAAAACCAAAAAATTCCCTGGCTGTAAACTGACTGAATAATATTCAGATAAGTATAAGCTTATTTTTTTCATAGTTGACTGAAAGTGAATGACTAAAAAATTCCAAAAATAAGCCCCTCCATGTATAAGCCCCTCCAAATATAAGCCCCCCCCAAACCGGTAACACAAAAAACCCTCCGTTAAATTGCGCTCCAAATATAAGCCCCCTGGGGGCTTGTTCTTGGAAAATTGCCCTCAAATACAAAGTAAAACAAAGCAAAAATGGTAAATTTACTTCTAACTATAAGGCTAGCCCAATCAATTTTGAAACGCAAATTTCCCTCCGTAGATAAACCCCTCCAAAAATAAGCCCGTCAAAAAGGGCCTTTGAAAAATATCAGCCCCAAAGCTTATTTTTGGAATTTTACGGTATCTTCACCAAGATATCTGTAGGTCTAGCCCCGCAAGAACATGCTCTCTCTTTTGCAATGCTGCTTAAAGGTGGTAAGGAATGTTTACTTACAGTTACCAGAATTGTCTCCTGAGGTTTCAACTCTGTTTGGCTATGAAATAAGATTTTACCACAAGAGGTTAAGATTCAGTAGCAACTAAATAAAATTAGATGTACTACACTGTAATGTAACAAAATAATATATGAATGTGAAAGTGTGCCATATATATATATATATATATATATATATATATTAAATATTGTTATTCACTCATTGATCAGGGTATGGCTACCAGCTGACATTAGTTGGCTGGAAAAATAAAAAATGCTTTGATCTCTAATCAAATTCTCTTAACCAATTTTTTTAAGGAAATGTATAGCAATCAGTATGGAGAATTTGTATCTTCAAAGAAGCAAAGGCACACTTCAAGTCAATGAGGTCAAGAAAACCAGAGCTTATCCTCTATTTCAGGGTTCATACAAAAAATTGCAACCATTTTTAAACTTTTCAAGGACCACATTCAATTTTAAAGGACCACCTACAGCTGTACCAGGAATGCAGTTTCACAGAAGTAAAAAAATGCACATTCCAAATCCATTCTAACAGGACTTCAAGGCTTGAACTGTTTGCTCCACCAATGTCTCTATAATACTCAGTTCACTTGTCTTAAATTGAGAGTTAATTATTGCACAAAGCACAAAACACAAAACGCTTTATGTAAACCAACTTTAACTTCTCTGAGCTATGACTTATATTCTGTCTTGGACAAGCAAATAGCATTGAAAAACACTTTCCAGGCCACTACATTCAAAGTTGAAAAAAGGACTTTTCAAGAAAAAATGGAATTCAAGAACTTTTCAAAGAATTCTCCTAAAGTTCAAGAACTTTAACCCTGTATTAAGACACACCTGGTTGAAGACTGAGACACAGAACAGAGTCAAGTTCCTTTGTAAGGAAACAACACAGTGACAAGATTTGAAGAGAAGTCCAATGAGCTAACCACTACATCAGACCCCTAGACCACTATGCCGTTATAAGGTGAACTAGGACTGAAGTGTTCCTTTCTCGAAACACCAAAATACACAATAATAGATTAATTAAAACAAACAGAAATTAGTTTACATACATTGAGTTTGTAACAGCTCATCCGGCCTTCCACCTTTATGAACAAGTCATTAGGGCCACGGGAATGGTGATGGAGCATAGCATTTAAACATGCTAGTGGAGCAGTTCCGCGACTAAAAAATAATAAACAGAATGATTTTTAGACTCTTGTCAGTTTTTTTTAGATTTGACTGTCTTTTTTGTTCCTCACTACATGTTTGGTGATTGCTAACTGTGAAATTGGAAAAAAGTACCAATCAATTTTGAAATTTGCCAACAGGAATGTAATTTACAATACAAAACATCAACTGCTAACAAAATTACCCAACACCCATGCTTTGCAAAAAAAATTGTCATAAGACTAAATAGCTCACCCTTAAAAAAAAGCGCCCTAAACAACAAACAAGACATTAAGTGCTTTGTTAAAGACAATTACATTGCAGGGCAGATTAATTACCTTGAGAGAATGCATGTACTGTGGTACTGTTTTAATATATTTTTCAAGAAAAAATCATTTGAGCTTCTTCTTGTAATAATTTAGACTCTCATGGTACCTTTTTTAGAAACTAAATCTGAATTGGGATTTTTGGGTCTGGATATTTCACAATATAGCTGTAACTGAATGAAAACTCCAAAACTGGAGTTTACATCTGAATATCTTGAGAAAAAATTCTTGTAACAGACGAAATTCTGTTTGGTAAAACCCATTTTTGATTAAATGTGTATTTTGAAGGAAATCTAACACTAGTGGTTAAAGTGTTCCCTTGCAACAGGAAAACATTACTATTATAATCAGGGAGTTTAAGATGACACATCAGAAATGGCAATAAGAAAGTCAAAACAGCAATTGGATAAATGGGGAAAACAACAATTCTGCACCAGCATCACACATTTTACGTTGCTGTCACTACAAAATCATGACATGAAAATGCCTAATTTCACATTTTACAGAGGATGTAAATCAGAGATGAAAAAAGTTTCTTTCTCTTTCTGAAGTTCGATATGGTTCTTAAGAATTCCACTCCAGGAGAGTTTGCTGGAATAATCGCGATAGAGATTGGAAGAATGCAAATTCCCTTTTTTGCTGCCGTCACAGTTGTGGTATCTTGAACTCCCTATTGGCCCAACTGGATTTCCATAACTAGCAGAAAAGCTTTTGATTTTTGTTGGTCATACTGCAGCTGAGGATTAAATGAGGATCTACTGTCTGATTGAAATATCTACCTAAGAGACCTTGTTGGGGGATTTAAATTTTTAAGCATTCAGCCAACCAGAATCTATGAAGCCAAAAAGGAAATGTCAAGAAAGAACAGTAGCAGGAAAAGATGTCAAAATTCGGAAACAACATTAGCAACCACAATTTTAATCCCAAGGGACCAGTCATTCATTTTTTAACAGATAAGGTGGGCTGGTGGGATTTGAGTCGGGGCATGCCAAAAAATATGACTTTAGAGGGGGGACCAGGCAAAAAAATATTGGGTGTCAAGGGGGGGGTCAACCAAGAAATTCTTTCAAGTTTTGCAGTGATGGCATCTGTGATAACTGACTGATAACTGATGTTCAGGAAGTTCCAATTTTCCCTGGGAAGTATGCCCCCGGACCCTCTACTTTATCACGCACAAAAAAGCAACTCTACGCCACTAAAATGTTAAAATAAGAAACAAGCCAAGTCAAACATATCATTGTGAAACAAATAATCCCTCCTTCCACATTAAAAAAAAATGGAATGTCTCTTGCCGTTGATAGAACTTAAGCTATCACCACGTACAGTTGCGTGTATTTTCTTGTGTATCTTTGTTTGTATATTTTTACACGAGTGTTTCATGAGTGTTTTTCTCATGGAATTTGCATGCAATATGGCGGATTTCCAAGCATGAAACACGTGTGTAATGCTGCAATGCCCGTGGTCTGTACTTTACTGTAGCAGTTTTATTTGGTTACTTCAGGTAACGTGCTTAGTGTTTAGTGTTACCTATTGTATAGCGTAGCAATGATGTTTGAGTAGTGTAGGTGGTGTTGTATTATAAGTATGTTGATAATGTTTGATAGCGTTTGCCTAGTGCTGTAATGTTTAGCAAGTAATGATATTTTGAGACTGTCATAGTATTAAAGTGATTTGCTGGTCCTTCAATCCCCGGGGAAGGCATACATACATCCTTTATTAAAACACAATAGGATTTAAAGCTCAAAGCTCGTGGGGTGGTGTAAAAAAAAACACACATATTTATAGAACTATATAAAAATAGGGATAACATTACTTACAAAATACAACTACAATAAAAACTCTAAGAATATACAGTAAGATTCTAAAAAGATACAATGTTAAAATAAAATTACATTAGTTACTTCTAAGTAAATTGACTGCAGCATTTAAAACATAAAATAGTTAAAAACATTCAAAATCTTCATGACTAGTGCCTGGGCAGGGACTGAACCGAAAACGTGCTAAAAATCAAGTTCCTTAAAATAACAGTCCTTCTTCAATTTGCGATAAAAAACAGTAAACTGGTGTGTAAAATGAGTCGAGACAGCATTCCAGAGAATAGCACCTCTATAGCCAATAGAGTTTTTAAGAAACTGCGTGTTAAAACGTGTGACGATTAAAAAGTATTACTCCTTCTGAGGTACGCAGTTCAAGGTTCATTTGTCAAGTATAAAAGAGTTGCAGGTGCTTCACCTATAAACATGCTATAGAGTAATTTAATTAATAAAAGTTTATAATAGAAGGTCAAAGTATTCTGGTTCGAATCTTGGTATACTTTTTCAGTAGGCATATCGCAGAGCAAGTTGTATATAAGTTTCCTGACTTTGGAAGCTTCAAAACTGAAGTTTCTCTTGAGGTTCTCACTGTTAAAAACAGACCCCTTTGCAACGTTAGCTATTAGACCATGTCTGTTCTCTGCTGATGGCCATTCAAAACTTCTATTTGATTTAAGTTCACCCATCATAATTTAATTTTAATTTTTTTTTTTTTGGGGGGGGGGGTAGGTGGTGCTAAGAATTTTGGGACAAATATTGGGTCACCCAAAACATTTTTCAGCTGACAGGGGCGGCTTTACTCTTTCCTCCCCCCACTCTCCCCCCTCCCCCCCCCCCCCCCCCCCCAACACACCNCCGACTATAGTGATTAGGGTTAAGCACTAACAATACCGATTAGGGTTAAGCACTGAAAATACTGATTAGGGTTAAGCACTGACCATACTGATTAGGGTTAAGCACTGAAAATACTGATTAGGGTTAACGGTTAGCTTTTATTTAGGGTTAGGGCTTTCGCTACAGTAGTTAAATTACTCCCATTCCCTGCAGCGAGTCCTTGGTGGTCTAGTGGTTAGGGCATATGACAACTGATTTAGCACTCCGGGATCGATTCCTGCTCTTTACTCGAAATTTTTTTTTGCTTTAAAATTGAAGAGACTTGCACTTTGACGACATTTGTTGAGCAGAAACTAAGTCTCTGAGTCAAGAAACTTAGAAATTTCATGTAAGTGTAAGTGAAAAGGGAGAGGGCGGTTTGAGATATGGAAACAAGTGCTTACTGTAAAAATATTCCTGTTTGTTTCTGAAAAAAGCCTAGGCAAAACAAATTCTTCTCCAGTCTCCCTTCAAAAAAAATGTCCCTCGATTAAAAGAAACCTAACCTACTTGGAGGAATGTTTTTCAGTTCCACTCAATCAAAATAAAAATAAAATTTGCAACATGTAAGTTTGAGAGTTCAAGTAATGAGTAGAATTGAAATGGTAGCTTCTCGGATAAACATTTTTTTTAAATTGGGGAGTGAAATCATGTAAATTCAGATTTTGGACGTCCACATTGTTACACCTCATGTTGGACGGCATTTCATTGTTGATTGGAATTGCATCGGATGGAAAAACTTGCGATCATAATCGACCAAATATAGCAAAGGGAATCATTTCTACATCAGTGAGAGACCTCTACCCATAAACCTGAAGTATTGACGCTTATGTGCTGTCAATCATCTTGAGATTACGATTACCACAGCCTCGAAATTCGCTTCACCTCACCTTAAATCGCGCAAACCTTCTTCCTGTATCACTTTAAGGATATCTTTGTGTGTGAGAGGATCAGCCGACCTCGCCAATACCTAAAGGCAACGAAAAAATAGCTCAATTCGGGTAAAATAACATCAAAGAGACTACACATGACCTCGCACTCAGCTGACATAGACTTCTTTGTGCGGCCATATAAAGTTTTAATACCTGTTTGGCCGCTTCAGCCCATGTCAAACCCTTTTTCTTCTTCGTTTCGCCTTTTCCCGCGCTCATTTCCTGAAAGATCAGTTCAAGATCGATGCTGCTGTCGAAATCTGACCTTCTCAAACGGAGAAATGGCTTGGCATGGGTGAAAATAAAGAGTCATATGCCGAATAATTCAGGCATTTCAAACCGCCATCTTGCTTGGCGGACGAAACGAACACATCGATCACGTGACATTAGAACATAACAGGAAGTTTTTCTACCAGGCCGGCACTCATCGTGCACGTGAAAACACTGGGTCGAGTCTAAATTTCCGTCCGAACCGTACGCAATAGAATTTTTCGGGGTGAGAGTTCATACAAAATGCTGGAGAAAATAGGGGAACTTCGCGAATTAAAATCATAAATTATAAGTAATGAACGGAAAGTAGACTCTGCTTTTAGCGAACTGTGATGTACTATCGACGACGGAAAATTTAATTGAAATTTAGGCAGCCAATATAGTCAATACAGACTCGAGAAGAGTGGGCAAGGAGATAAAAAGCAGCTAGCAAACCTTTTGAGCTCCCTTCCCAGAGGCATTTTCCCAAGTCCCCCGCTCTCTCAAAACGCATAAGCTTAAGATTCATGTTGAGAACCAAGTCAGTTATAATCTCCTAAAAGTCCATGTTACGTTCAGAGAAACTCGGATTGCCATCGCAGAACGGACGTGGAACGAGCTTTTTTATGACATTTCTTATGCGCGTTTTCTCTTGCTGCGCTCCGGCTTTACAAAGAACTGAGACCTGCCACTGATTGTAGTCGAGCTTTTGAGTTTGGAGAGAGGAATATTCTGACTGAAGTACTAGCCAAGGAATCAAAACCAAAGCCATAAAATTAATCAATATCTCCATGCCAATGAACGAACACTCATTACGAAACGATTACAAATTAAAAATCAATTCAGATATATATACTCTGACTAGTCACGCGATCACAGACGAGTCTGAAAAAACTAAAATTGAATGTAAAAACCCGAAGGCTTTGCCCCTAGACCTAGATTTATCACATTATCTAAGCCTACACTGAGAACGTACCTCAAAACTAAGTGAATAGCCTCCACAGAATGTTGTTTTTGGCCACTTATCTCTCGAAGGTCTCCATGATTTGAATAGTATAGACTCCAGAGCCCAATGACCCAGATGTATATATTCAGTACCGGCTTTTTCTGCTGCAGCATTAAATGCATTATGGGTATCACACGACCGCAGAACCGAGATCCTCTCTGGGGCACATTTGCTCTTTAAATTCGCCGGGCCATAAATACAAAGAGAACCATGCATATAGTACAAAAGATTTTGCAGTTTAAGAGTTCAACCGTATAGTGCTTGACTGAGCAAGAAATGGACCGTAACTCTAAATATGATTTTATCCCCTATGTTTCTCGAAAGTACAAAAACGAAAAGGCCAAAGCCACCTTGCCTCATCAATCAGTTTAAATCTGTTGATTCAGTTTAAAAGTTTTAATAGGGGCTATTATTTTGGTCTATTCACTAAGTGGAATTAGGTAAACTAATATGTGATAGAAGCGAAAGTCATTCTACCGATATGAGTATAAAATTCCCTCTTTGCTTGTCTTCGTGCTCCAAGCATAGCGTATTTCACAGCACAGCCGGGTTACAAAGCAAAACATCATCATGGAGGCTAAAAAGCTGATACAGTTGTATTAACTAATACAATACAGCCTAACAAATGCGGAGGAATAAAAGGGCACAGATTTTTAATCCGTTTACAAGGACTAATTATTAAATTAAAGTCAATAAACAATTCAGTATTCTTAGGCTACCTAGAGTGTAAAGGAAATCTTGTCTAAACATCCAATTTAATGAGAATTTAATACTCGTTGGATCATTTTTGTCATTTTAGAGGGAGCAGAAGGAGAAACTTTCTTTCTTTCTTGAAGCTGGATCGAGAAAAGCGGAATCTAATCAAAACAGGAAACGTACATGCAAATATCATTTCCAAAAACTCGTTTTGACTGAGCGTGTGTAAAAAGGTTCTGTCAATGATCTGACATATCGTCATGTTTACCCTTATTATTGACAGCCAATAGAAAATCACTGATCGAGCGACCATGAGAAAGATTTTTGCATTTTTATCTTAGAAAGTCAGCTGTCTATCATAAATTCATGTATCATTCTTCCGCATAACAAAAAGCGAAAGAGGAAGCACCCAGCTTTTAGCTACAGCTCAATTTCAGTGATAATTAACGCTCGATCCGACTGAGCTCCAAAGAAATTCTCTGAGTTGTGCTTTAGCAACTACTGGTATCAAGAGTGTGGTATGTTATAGTTTAAAGTTTCTTTATTTCAATTCCTAGGACTTTTATAATGTATCAGGGTAAGAACCGACTGATTTCAATCACGAAGAAAACGATTCGTGAATATCCAAGGCCCACAACAAGGAACTGCTTATTAAGACACCTGACTACAGCTTCGATCCAATGGCCATGAAGGTTTCTTGATTCATTCCAGGATAGGCTCCTGTTCATTCCCAAATTTCCTAAATTTCTAAGAAGTGAGCATCGCAGGGGCTCGGCCGAACGGTAACTGTTTTCCAACAGTGCGAATCTTGTAACTGCAACGTCTTGCTTGCAAGCCGTCCACATATGGCTATAAATTTTTCGCCGTGTAGGGCTTCTTATAATCAGACAAGGAAAGAGAACTTTACTGAAGTTTGTTTCAGTCTGACTGTTTTATATGAACATATATTTAAGAGAAAAAATTAGATTATGCACTTCAACGAATGTCGTTTTCTCTGGCTGTTGTATTGGCTCTCGGTTTCTCCTCCGGTTTACCTTCTTGATGAGGCACCTTCTACAGAGTACCAAGCTTGCTCGTATCAGTATTGTATTTACCTTCGCTATTTTCAGTTCAGCAGATCGTCAAGCAAATTATCCTGAATTTCAAAGAGCCGATAACAAGAGCCCGCATTGTAAATCTTCAGTTTTATATCTGGGCAACTGGGCTATATGTAAAATTCTGCACCAAGCAAAAGACATTATATTTTTGGGCTCTTAATTGTACTAAAACTATTGGAACAAAGTAGTTGCAAATAAAGAATTGATCAGACAAAACTATTTTATTTTTTCTCGCTTTTTTTACGGACGTGACTTTACACACGGCTTTATCGTCTAATCGCGATTTCTAGTTGTCACCCAATGTAGTCCGCTTTGATGAGTTGATATTGGCCACTGGCAATCGCATGAAAATTGGAACATACATTCGATAAAAACAATAGGACTTAAGAAAATTTAGCTCTTCATATGTTATTGGCCGCCTTAATTGGCAGGCACTTGAACATCAGTTTATCGTCTTAATTTGTGGAATATGTTGTCGTCATCTTTGCATTTCATCCGTAAGAATTAGTGCAGTGGGTTTCCTTTTAAAGCCTGACACTTGAGAGAAAGGGTCTGAAGGTTGAAGTTTCGGGCGATCGTACCAGAAACTCTAAATCGTGAGCCGACCTTATGACAATCAGAATAATTTGAATATAGTCTTTATAATTTAAAAATGAAAAATTAACTATACTGTCTACCAAAATATTCCAGAAGATCAGTTGCTACAAATTTTATCTAATCGAGCGGGTCATATCTTGCGCGCTCACGAATAACATTGACGATCAGATACAGTTTAAGCTCTGCAAGGTCAATGATTCGTATAGTATTTGATTTTGATCGGTTGTCAAATAAGTAGACAAGCACTGAATTCTAACCAGGGGCACCCAACGGCAATTTTCGGGAAAATATCTGTTCGGAAGACGATTTGAGAACTAGAATTTTCGGAACATTTGTTGTAAAATTTCCTGCTTGCCTGCCTCTCCTAGGATTTTCGAACGTCTACAAAATGGTATAATTACCCATTTTAAACGGATATTTACCCTAAAAAAGGCCACCTAGAATTTTCAGGAGCCTTTTCCTGGCTTAAATTTTCGAAAAGGTAAGTTCTGATCCCTATAATTTTCGGATCACTAGACTTTCAACTAGGAAATCCGAACAGATGAAAAGTTTTTAGGGGATAAAAATATGCCTATATCTACCGTTTAAATACTAAAATACGTTCAACAATGCTATGTTAAGTGGTTTTGAACTATATCCTCGTTGGGTGCCCCTGTCTAACTTTCCATTTATTTCTCTTTAGGTAGCAACATTCAACGAAAGACATTTGAAGATCATTGACGGTGCCAAAAAGTATGGCTCCCCCTCAACTTCGTGGATTTGTCCAACGTGACCTCAGAAATGCAATTATACGAGCATTGGGTCTGGCAATGGCTTTCGGCTTCAGTTACAAGTATTTTGTCGCTTGGCCAAGAAGAAAGGCGTATGAAGATTATTATTTGAATTTTGACGCCGAAAAGGCAGCCAAGGAGATGGAATCGGAAATGAGTGCTTAGATGTCCTTAATATTCAATGTATATCTGTTGTCATGATGCTGAGTAAGTATTAGGGAGTTTTACAACCAACGACGACGTAAAAATTCGCGCTTATCCCATCTCGTTCATTTCGTCAAATGTTGGCTCCTTTCTTGGATCGCCGAGTTGAATTTAAAAGGGCTGTATCAAAGTGCAGGAAATGAAAAAGAGAGTGGTTGTCTTGTGTTGACTTCCTCCACAAAACGTGAAATTAGGCAGTTTCACGTCGTAGTAGTGCAGTGACGGTAAAGAAATGTACAAAAAAGCGTGGTGCATGTACAGATTTGTTGTTTTGATAGACACAGACAGCGTGACGGCAGTTATTTCTTTAAACTGAATTCAGGTGAATTGCTTTCTTTCAGCTGTTCTTTGTTTGAATTTCAGGTAGCTTGTTGTTTGCCGTCTTCAGTGGACAATGTGTAGCGGTTCAGCTTCAATTGTGCCATAGCCAGGTCCCTTGACTTGTCGTAGATAGTGTCAAAAGATAAAATATTGTTTAAAATAATAATGAAAAAAGTTATTAAAAAAACCATTTATTTCTTTATCTAACATCAGTTTTAAGCTAAAAATTGATGTTATGTTTCGCCCTTTTAACGCAATTTTAAAATAATCAGCTGAAGAATTCAATCGTGTGAGTAACAGTGAAGAAAGACTCAAACATGATTTGTAGTTAACCGTTAGTAAAAATAAACTCGAGTTTGGATCGTGACTAGACAAATAACTCGCGTTCAAATTGATCCACGCCTGCGTGACCTCCACC